CCCCAAATAAGATGATAATATCATGTGTCTTGTTGTTAGGGTTGTTGTGAGGTGCAAAGGACTTCGTTCCATTTATAGCCACCTGGGTACAACGAGTGAAACCCCACGTGGTCCTGCACCATCCTCACCATTGATCTGCTGTCGGAGCCACCGTGTCCACCCACCTGGTCCAGGGCCTTCCTCTTTTGTGTTGCCCCTGCACTTTACCAAGCATGAGGTCCCTCTCCAGGGACTGGTCTCCTGACCACAGGTCCACAGTATGTGAGTCAGAGTCCACCCTCCTCCAAGGAGCATTCTGAGTGTGCTTCTTCCAAGACAGTTTTGTTTGTTCTCTTTGCAGCTGTCCATGATGACTTTCCGTGTTCTTCCCAGGCTGAGAGGTTAGGCTTTGCAACACATATTTTGGGAGAATGTAATTTTACCAGTAACATCTGATGTGAGGAAACAACTTCCCTATGAAATATGTACAGAAAGAGACATTGCTTTGTCGCTGCAAATAGAGTCAACCTTACACACGGATGGGTGTCAAATTGAACTAGAAAGGTGTTCTTTGGTCCGTAAACTCCCGCTGAAAGCTGGCTGGTTTGTTGGCGTTATGTGGGCTGGGATCTATAAGGTTGACAGTTTGAAACCACCAGTCAATCCTTGAGAGGAAAACAGACCTTTCTACTCTTGTCAACAGTCGCAGTCGTAGGCATCCACAGGGGCAGTTCTACCCTGTCTTATGGGGTCACTCTAGTCAGGATTAACTGGCTGGCAGTGAGTTTGGGTCGGTTTCGTTGGAGGAGCCCTGGTGGCATAGTGGTTACTTGGGCTGCTAACCGGGAGGTTAACAGTTCGAAGGCACCAGTACCTCTTCAGAGGAAAGATGAGGCTTTCTACTTCTGGGAAGAGTTGCAGTCTCGGAAACCCACAGCAGCAGTTCTATCTTCTCCTATAAGGTCGCCAAGAGTCAAGTTATTTTTGGGGTGGGGGCGGGTGGGATCGTTTTCTTAATGTCCCAATTTTAAGACGTAGCCTTCAATTAGCTATTTATATCTGGGAGGATCTGCAGAGACAAACAGAAGTACATTTTAAGATATCTGCCACATTAAAGCTGTAATCTAGAGTAACTATTTCTGGATTGCTTCACAGATTTCTTTAGACTTCAGCCTTGGGATTTTAAAACTGACTTCTCTTTACTTCCTGCTCGAGGCGGGCGGGCTCACCCGGGAGAGCGAGTGGAGGAGGGTGCAGGCCCCGGGGCAGTGCTTTGGCTCACTCTGAAGTCAGAATTGACTCCAGGGCACCCAACAAGCCAATAACAAACCACAATGGCGTCCTGGGGGCTTCGCACTTACACGTTGGGCTGCTAAACTCAAGGTCAATAGATTGAAACCACCAGCTGTTCCTTGGGAAAAAGACGAGGCCTTCTACTCCCATACAGAGTTAGTCTTGGAAACCCATGGGGCAGCAGCTCTCCCCTGTCCTTACAGGGTCGCTGTGAGTCGGCACTGACTTGACAGCAGTGAGTTTGGTCTTTGGGGAACCACATTTAAAATCTTGGTGATCTGCCTAAACATCACCGAACCATACTCCAGATTTTCTCTTAAGGAAGCTTGGGGTTGGGGTGCAGGGTTCAGTCTTGCTTTGGGAATAGCCGGGGAGCCAGGAAGACGGCTGTGGTTAGTGTCAGTTGCTGTGGCGTGGATTCAGGGCATGGCTGTCCACGGTGCCGAGGAGAACTGCCCCCTCAGGGTCTCCATGCTCCAGCCTTTCAGAAGCAGGTCTCCAAGCCGCTCTCCCGAGGCACAACTGGATGGGCTCGAACTGCCACATTTCCGTTAAGAGTTGAGTGCTGTGTTAGTCTGGGTAGAATAGAGAAACAAATCCATAGACATTTGTGTGTGTAATAGAGAACTTTATATCAAAGAGTAATTGTGTATTAAGAAAACACCCCAGCCCCGTCCTGATCAAGTTCATAAAGTCCGATATTAGCCCATATGTACGATACCAATCTAGAAAGTCCTCTTCAGACTCATGCAACACATGTAATGATGCGGAATGCAGGAAGATCACAGGCCAGTGAGTGGAAAGCTTCAGGATCCAATGGTGGTGGAAGCATCTCAGCATTGGCAGGGGTTTCCACGTGGCTCCTCCAGCTCCAGGGCTCTAGCTCTATTATCATAGCTGCATGCGGCTTGTCAACAAGAAGACCAAGCTGCGAGTCTGTGTGTATCTGGCCTCCAGTGAGCTATTTGTCTCCATTTGCATCTCCTAAATGAGGTCATCAAGCAGTGACTTGCTTGACAGGCTAGACTCCACCCCTTTGCAAGTTGACAGGAGATGATGTAAGTGCCACAAGTGCTTCATTGTTTGTGTCTCCCAGGGTCTTTGAAATAAGGTCTCACTCACTGTCATTGAGTGTATTCAGACTCCTAGCGACCCTGTAAGGCAGGGTAGCATAACTCTTTACTGGAGTAGAACGTTGTAAGTGTCTGTATTCACAGCCTCATCCCCGAGTGCCTGGGCTGCTCATCCAGAGGTTGGAGGTTCCAGTTCACCCAGAGGCGCCTTGGAAGAAAGGCCTGGCCATCTACTTCCAAGAATAAAAAAAGGACCAGCCATTTAAAACTCTCTAGAGCTCAGCTGTCCCTGACACTGAATGTTGTCACAAGTCAGAACTGTGGGACTCGAGTTAACCTAACATCAGACCCTCGAACCAGGTGTTCAAAGGTCAGAGCCACCACTGCTGCCCTGCCCCTTGCCCCGGCCACTGCACTGTGGTGTTTTCCTCAGTGGATGGCATGTGATATGTGAGGGTTTTTAATCACAGGCACCTGTAACGGCCCCACCTGCTAGGCTTGAAAGTCCAGTCCTGGGGTGGGGTGCTCTGACTCTCCTTAATACACCGTTACTGGGGTGTTCTCGAGGAAGTGCGAGATGAGCACTTAGGGCCGGCTCACCAGGTTTTCATGAGTGGACCGTGACTCACTAGGACCCCCGGTGCTCCCTGGGGTTTACGGTGGCTCAGCATCCAGGTGTGTGTCACCAGGGCTTGTCTCCGAGGCATCTCTGGGCGGACTTGAACTTCCCACCCTTGACACCACCAAGGAATAACTCCGGTCTCACATCGGCATTACCCTCCTTTTTCCTTCTCTCCCCAGACCAGCCACATCCCTGGCACAGAGGCCTCCAACTCTAGGTGCCCACACAGAGTGCCCACGCGGTGCTGCCCAAGTGATAATGTGATTCTAATAAAAAGGAAATGGAAAAGACGCGTTGCTGGGTGCTTTCACCAGATTGAATTTCACCCCATTCTGTGGGGCTCTTCACTTCTCCCTTTAGAGTAACAAGGGTGAGGAAGCTCACCCCTAAAGGCAGGTCCAATAAGTGGACTCTACGTAATTGGTGCATGCTGCTCTGGTGGTGGTGCACTTCATGTATTGAATTGCTAACCTCAAGGTAAGCGGTTCAAATCCACCAGTCACTTCGAGGGAGAGAGGAGGCTGTCTGCTCCTGTAAAGACTTATTCTTAAAAACCCCAAGGGGCTGTTCTACTCAGTCTTGTGGGATCCTTCTGAGTCAGTGTTTACTTGATGGGAGTGGGTGATTTTAGTTTTGAAGTGTTGGTTACACAGAGACCCACACAGAGGCTGGGCCAGCCTTCCCTCGCGCCTGAGAAACCATCAGGCTCAGTGCTGACTCAGAGCAAGCCTATAGGACAGAGTAGAACTGCCCCTGTGGATTTCCGAGACTGTAACACTTTACGAGAGGAGAAAGCCTCTTTTTTCTCACATGAAGTAGCTGGTGGTTTCAAACTGGTCGCCTTCTATTTAGCAGCCCAGCACAGAACCACTGCTCCTGGGGCTCCTTCAGATATCAGAGAAGAGCCAGTTCACATTCTTGACCCTCTCCACTGGATGAAGAAAGCTTGGATGGGTCTCTGGGTGTCATGGCTGTGGAAACGTGTGTTGGCTGTGCCTACCATAAGCAAGAAGCAACCAGATTCATTATAAAATGTCTGTCCTCATGATCAGACCTAGGTCCTTGCAAAGTCATGAACACTTTGTGCAAGTGGTCGTGAGTGGCACAGGCCGGTATGAACTGCACACTCCCTCACCTGGGCTGGGCCTGGGTTTCACCGGGTGTTTCATAGGGCTGTTCCAATTGGACCCTTGGAGTACAAGAGGGTGGGGACCGGGCTGTTCACTGAAAGGTTAGAGGTTCGAGTTCACCCAGAGGCACCTCAGAGAAAGGCCTGGCGATCCACCTTCAAAAAACCAGGCCCTGAAAACCCTTGGGAGCACAGGCCCCCTTCTGTGCCCACCATGGGTTGCAATCGACTTGATGGCAACAGGCCTGGTTTGTTCCCAGGTGGCTGCATTACTCCCATTCTGCCTTGAAACAGTTGTTTCTGTGGAACGATGGCTACCACCTCTTTTTCTTCCTGTTTCTGTTTCCTCTTCCACTCTGACAGCCCACACAGAGAGGGGAACCCTTATGGAGCTGAGGCTTGGTCGGCGGAAAGGGGTGACATATCAGTCGTTACACACAATAGCCTAACATGATAGACAACAGGCTGCTCCCATAAAAGCCCCCCCGCCCCCAACACTCAAACATGACTGCGCTCTCCTAAGTGGTGAATAGCCTTGCTCTCAGGGTTGGGGGCTTCGGCCTTTCCCCTTTACTAGTTCCGGGAAGCGGGTGGTGCAGCAGGTGGCCTGACCAGCCTGTGGGAACAGGAAGGGAAACGGGTGCCAGTGGAGTCACGGTTGTAGTCAGCCGAGCCTCCCACTTCTCTTTGGATACTCTCCTCGATTCTGGAGAACTCCAGCTGTTCCCACCAGTCCCACTGCTGTGGGTTTCCACCTGAGACCAGCAGCAGTAGCAGGCTCCGGTGGGAACCTGGAGAAGACAGGCAGGCGTCAGGAACTTTCTGAGCCAAAGCTAGACTTGTCGTCCTTGTGTTGTGTACCCGCCCACCCGCCTGACCAGCCCCTGTGCCTTTACTCTTCCAGGGGGCATTTTAAGGAAGGGTGCCAGACTCTTCTTCCGCCGGCGCCATCAACACAAAGACCCGGGCCTGAGCCAGTCCCACAACGACCTCATGTTCCTGCAGCAGCCGGAGGCAGCCAGGAGGAGGACGACCCTCAGCAGGATCCTGAACAAGAAGCTGCTGTCCAAACACAGAAGCAAGAGTGCCGTGAACGGCGCCCCTGTGGACCCCTCTGCGTAGGGCTCAGGGCCAGCAGCCTCCTCCCGGGAACCCACACTGACACCCTCACCAGGACCATGCCAGCCCCCCACCAGGTGGCGCTGCTTTGTCTGGCTGGATGTTATCCAACAACTTGATCTTCGAAAAGGGAGATCTACATACATACGTCTCTCTGGATGTATGTGCATATACATATATATATATATATATATATATATATATAGTCTCCAGCCAGGAGGCTGTCCCCAGAGAAAACTGATGAAACCTCATTTGCCACCAGATGCCAGATGAGACCCAAGGGCCCTGTAGCTTGGGCTGTGCACCAGCCTGTGAGCCGAAGCTAAATATTGGAAGGGGATTGACATTGCGAACTGCATGGCATGTTCTCATAGACCTGGGGGCGGAGGGTCGAAGAGCTGTCCTGGAGGGATCCATGTAACCAGCTCGACATACTCACAAGTGCTATTTGAGGCCCACAACTGGAATGTGTTACAAAGAGGAGGCCCTACTCCCATGCCCCTTCACTGTGAGCTGAGTGGATGGGTCACCTCTGGTTGCTGGATGCTCCGGATGACAAGTGCAGCTGGCCCTGCATACGGGCGGTGGGACCTGGGAACTGGAGACATTCTAATAGGAACAGAAATGCCATGGTCAATGTCGGAAGACACTCACCTTCATTATTAGCCATATAACTTGAACAATTATGCAACAAATAGATATATCCTATGCATAGTATGCTGAACACTATTCCCCAAGTTTACTTTGAGCCTACTTGCAAGCTGAAGATAAGTATACATTCTCACATGGTTTGAAATTTTTTAACCTTTGACCTTTCAAATGCTCTAATACCAGTGGGGCCATGGACAGTAGACACATGGGTTCCTTCTGCCCTGACATACTTGCTACGCAGGAGTGCCAGTAAGCCTGTCGGCATGCAGGGAGGAGCAATACACAACAGTGTCAACCGCACACAACGTGGGTTGTCTTCAGTGTGAAGTCGGCCAATAGCCACCACAGAGTACCATTGGGGTCAAAGAGGAAGTTGCTTGCTGCAAGTGTCAGTCTTAGGAATGGGGATCTTCTGACAATTGAGCCACTCGTGCAGCTAATTCCTTCTATGAGCTCATCTTTAGGGGAGCCCCTGTCTGATTTTCAGTGTTGGGGAGGGGGTGATCAGCCTGGTACACTTAATATGCCAAGGCGTCTTTCAGTCCCACCTTCGTACTTGCTTCTACTTGGGCTCATTCTTCCTGTTCACGGGAGCCCACTGACTGAATGTGTCCCTTGCCACAGGCCTGCTAACCACTGAGCAGCTGTCATGGGGTGGGGGTGGGGAGAGCATTTTGACAGTTGAATCAGATGTGTTTTCCGCCAATGAGATGGAAAAGGCTGTGAGGCAAACTTCACTTTTGTCACAGATGTGAGTTTGAGAGAGCTTCACGTTCGTCATGAAACAGTAAATTCCAGGGGCAGTCAAGCCACTGATGAGCCAAAAAGCATTAGAGGAAAACAAAAATAAGAGGCTTATTTCTTTTTATGTGTGTGTGAGGGCAAGATTAGAAGACTGAGCCTTGAACTTTAAAATGTACACTGTAAAAATTCTTAGGTGTTTGGGGATTTATCAATCAAGTAACTTTAAAAGACCCTTATCACGGGGACCTTGTTTTTCCGGATTATATTTCAGTTGTAATCATTGTGAATTAGCCCTTATGTGGGCGAAGAACTTGCCAAATTCAAGAACGAACTCTAAGACTGGCAGACAGTGGAAAATTTCAACACAGCTTTGGGATGTTTTTGTGTATTTTTTTGATTTTTGAAATTCAGATGGATTCAGGTTTTTTTCAAGGGCAAACATATCAGAGTTTTAGCTTTCTTGCTTAAAAATTTTTTCTTTTAAAAACCACTCCCTATCAGCTCCATGAGCATTCTGTTTTAATACCTGCCTCAAGAGCTCTAAGGAGCCCTGGTGGAGTAATGGTTACGCATTGGGCTTCTAACCCCAAGGGCAGCAGTTCAAAACCACCAGGGGCTCTACAGGAGAAAGATGGCTCTCTACTCCCACACAGTTAGTCTTGGAAACCCACTGGGGCAGTTCGGCCCTGTCCTCTGGGGGTCGCTATGAGTCGGAATAGGCTCAATGGCAGTTGAGTTTGGTGTGGTTTTTTAAGGGCTCCTCTAGCTCTGGTGGTATTGTGTTGGTCTGTTAACCTCAAGGTCAGCAGTTCAAAACTGTCAGCCCCTCCCAGGGAGAAAGACAAGGCTTTCTACTCCTGCAAATAGTTACAGTCTCTGATACCCACAGGGCAGACCTACTTTGTCCTCTAGGGTTGCAAAGATTTAGGGTTGATGCAATGGCTTTGAGTTTATTGGGTTTTGTTTGTTTGTTCAAGGGCTCTGCTTCCTCATGACTTGAAACGTTATCAGGGTCCTCGAAGGTGTGAGGTGGACTAGATCTATCGTGTGTGTGTGTGTGTGTGTGTGTGTGTGTGTGTGTGTGTGTG